CGGGGGCCGAACCTGGAGGTGTTCGGCCCCCGAACGGGACCCCGAACGCCCGAACGTTCGGGGGCCAGCCCGGGGGCCCCCGAACGTTCGGTCAGGTAACCCTGAAGCAAACCACATCTATGGACGGAAGGCGCAGTACACTAAGGGTTATGGGTTGCGCCTATCCCCTCAGGGTTGAACCTAACCCCTGGCAACGACTGGAAGGGCCTATTCCCCTTGCCAATCAACGACCAGGGGGGACAAGCTGACTATCTCAGCTGGTGAAGCTGCGGTGCACAGCAGGGGGCCGTGGGAATTTGAATGGAAGACATGGGACTCGAACCCACGACCTCCTGAATGCAGCTTTCGTGCTCTACCAACTGAGCTAGGCCGCTGGCCCAAGTTTGTGTGTTTGTTTGTTTTGTATTCTTTTTTTTTTTTAATACAGCTGTCTTCTCCTCATATGGTGAACAGTTTTTATTTATTTATTACCTACCCTATTTTCTTCTCTCTTCTTACCTCACACTAGCTACCCATATGTATGTCCTACCCACAAGCCCTACAAGGCAGATAATGGATCACGTCTATTCAGGAAAAGAGCAGCTACTACCCCAGACAAGCAAACGGTACAAGAGCCTATTCGCACATCAAGGGAACCCGGAGCTAAGACTAGAGTCCATAGCTAGGATCTAGGGCTAGGGTCTAAGGCCACCTTAAATTTACTAACCAGAACTAAGCTATCCTACATCTACCTATCTCTGCTCTGTGCGGGGAGCAGTACCCAAGCTCCTAACACAAGGGGCGCGCTGGAAAGAATCACTGCCACAACTCGCCAGGAGGCCCAAGCGAACAATCTCTGCTGGTGAACCCGAAGCATCCCCAACTTGAGTTTCTTTTTTTTCTTTCTTTCTTTTTTTTAACAGGTCCTTATGGCCCTGGCTCCATTTCCATTCTGGGGAGCATCAGTCCGGTTCCTATTCCACCGGCAAGTCAGGAAAACATTGCAACATAGAACACCCACACGCTTCCTTCCGTCTGGCCGAAGGAACCCTGATCAGCATTGATTACTCCAGCGACGTGGAGGATTGACTGTCAGCTTGCCCTGCTTGCACCTTTCCTCTTAGGACAACTATTAGAACCTGTCAGATAAAACATGCAAAACAAGAAAGGTCTGAGAAGCTACAACTGCTGCCAATTCTGTCTAAACCCTAAGCCCGGCAAATACGCGTCGTGAAATCCTTAGCATTCTAACCCCTGCTGTCTTGTTTCTGTCCAAACCCTCAGCCCTAAACCCTAAACCCTAAAGAAGGTTGATCCTCTTCCATGTGTTCCGTGTGAAACATCGGCTGCCGCCTGTCGCGCATGTATCTTGGGTGCTCTTCTGGGCCCAGATTGGGGCTGGTTCCCCAAGTGCCTGGGTGTTCTGCTGGGATATCAACTTGACCGAATTATGCCATTCTTTCCATCGTAAAACGTGCCCAATCAGCCATGCCACTTCGTCACCTACCAACCAGATCCGCGTGAATTTAGCCAGTGTCACCTGTTCTGTCTCTTGATTGTTCTGCACCCAGAGTTTAACCTTTCTCCAATGACAGAGGATTTCCGCTTCAATCATCTCTTTGTTTGCTGCCCACACTTTCTCCCGTGGGTTCTTTGTGCCGTCCAGAGTTCTGCTGCATCTTTCCTTCCATATGGCCCATAGCGTGACCTTGCGTACCATCCCGAACCATATTTTCTCTGATTGGGCGAAGTTAGAGGGTAAATTAGTCCAAAGGAGCAGTTGAAGGGGGTGCTCTGTGAGGGGAGACGAGAACAAACTATCCCATAGTGCTGCTGCTCTTGCCCAATAATCTGTGGCTTCTTTACAGTTAATTAGGCAATGTATCGCGTCTTCCTGTTCTTGGTCTGAGCAGACTGCACAGATATCAGAGCTGGTTGGATCGTTCTTCTTTTGACATGTAGCCATTGATTGACCGGTAGAGCAACATATGTTATGAGCCACTGCATGCTTCTGATTTTTATAGGTCTTATTGTTTTATATCTTTTCCATGGGATTTTTGCTATCTGGTCTGCCTCCGAACCAATTAACTTGCTCCAGCGTCCTTTGATTGTTGGGTCTGGGTCCTTTGTTTTTAACAGCATCTTGTAACCCAGCTTGACTGTGTACTCATGTACTGGAATTGGTGGATTGGTGGTTCTAGTTCGGTCGGGGAGTCAAGCCCACTGCCAGGGATCAAACTCGAGGTCTTGAATTGCTGTCCCTGTTTGAAATATCTGCTTTGGCAAGAGTCCTAGTGTAACTAGTGTTTTTATTTTATGGAGAGTAAACGCATTGAGCACTACTCTTTCAGGGTTGATGTTCTGAATGTACAGTTCATCTGGCTTGGTCTTCAGGATCGGGAAGGATGTGAAAACGTCCCGTGGCCCCGGACCTGATATTCGATGGGAAAATTGGTAGGCCCTTTCAGGGGAGGAGTCCTGGATTGGGATCCCCCACTCCCCGACTTTCCACGTGAAATCCTCCTTTAGTAGCTCTGCCCAGCCCCCAGGAATACTCTGTATAATCTTCTGTAAATTTTCATCTCTGTGGTGACATTCTTTCAGTTGAGTTTTAAGCTCATTTTCGGC